AAACAGAAGTCTGGTTCAGTGGTGCCATGGGCCTGACTTACCCTCCATTGTAAACTTGTTCTGCGGTTTTGCCTTGTTCTCCCTGCAAATTTCTGCTTTGTACCCTTGTACCCACCTTACCTGCCTGGAGTTTCTGGTCCACTTCTGAAATCTCAGGGAGCTAGAAGGGAATTGAGAGATCATGTTTGGTCCACTTGTTCATTTTGTTGATGGAGAAACTGAGGTGCAGGGACAGGAAGGAATCTGCTCAAGGTCATTGTCTACGTTAAGTGCATTCATGAATTTATTCAATATATACTGTGTGGCAGGCACTTCTCTAAGCACTTGTGAAATAAGAGGAAAAAAATCCATATTGGTCTCTGCCCCCCTCCCCTGTACCTCTCTCTCTCCTGTCTTGACCTTCTTGTGTTATGAGCTCCTAAGACCCTTGTAATATCCTCAGTGATAGGAACACTAGGAGCATCCTTTATTCTAATATTTGGTCTTTGCCTCCATTCCTGACACCAAGTTCCTAAATCCCTTGGAATTTCCTGGGTGATAAGGGTGTCTTTTGTTCTGATGACGTGACTCTGGAGGAACTCCTGGATGGGAGTTGATCACCAGAAAGACCAAATCAGGATTAGAAGCTTGGAATTTTCACCCCCCCCCCATTCTCCAGAGAGAGGAGAGGGGCTGGAAATGAAGCTAATGATGGGTCATGCCTACCTGTGATGAAGCCTCCATAAAAGTCCCCAGGGTATGGGGTTTGGAGAGCTTCCAGGGAGGTGAACAAGTGGAGGTGCTGGGGGAGTGGCATTCCCCAAGAGGGCGTGGAAGTGCATTGCCCTCCCCACCTAGTCCTACACATCTCTTCCATCTGGATGTTCATCTCTATCCCCAAACATGTCCTTCTACAATAAACTGGTAAACAGTAAGTAACCTGTTGTCCTCCCTGACTTCTGTGAGCTGCTCTCGCAAATTTAACCGAACTGAGGAGGAGGTCGTGGGAATCTCCGATTTACAGCCCATCTCTCAGAAGCACAGGTAACCATCTGGACTTGTGATTGGCATTTGAAGGGAGCGGCAGCCTGGTGGGACTAAGCCCTTAACCTGTGGGGTCTGATGCTGTCTCCAGATAGTGTCAGAACTGAATTAAATTGGAGGATACCCAGCTCGTGTCATAGAAGTGCTTGGTGTGGGGAACAACTCCCCCCAGTCTGGTGTCAGAAGGCCTGTGATTGTGGTAGTTGTGTGAAAATAAAGGAGAAACACAAGAGGAGGACTGAGATTTTTCCTACTTGGCACTGGATAGGGAAGAGTGAAAAACACAGTTTTTTTCCAGTTCAGTGGAGAATTTACATTATAAGACAATTATAAGATGGGATTAAAAAAGATCAGTGATGGTGATGGTCAGAAGAGAGAACTGAACCAGCATGAAAAGAACGAGAAAAGCAAAAGGGCAAGAGGACAAGGAGAGAGGGTCAGAGCTGAAGCTCTCCATCTACTTAAACCTCACGGCATGTATAAAGGGCCAGTCATCCACTCATTCCACCAAAATGTGGATGTTCTACTACTGGGCCTAACCTTGAAGATACAAAGATGAGTTGGTATTTTAAAGACCAAATAAGGTCATGAACTTGTGAGGCTGGCTAGCAGATTTCCAAGCTGAAGTCCCTGACTGCTTAAGCCACCCAATTTCAAAGCAAAGGGAATTTGTTTCACAGTCCTTCTCTCTTCCCTGGGGACACAGCAAGCAAGATGATGGCGGTGCAAACTTGCTGTGATTCTGACCCACAAGATTACTTGACAGTGGCCTCCCTTGTTAAGCCTAGCACTCTTTTTCAACTTCAGGGTTCCCAGGTGTCCTCGGGACGGGCAGGTGGCATTTGTTTTAACACATGTCACTCAGCCAACCAGTCCAAGTACAGCCAACAGGTGCTGGGTCCTTTAATCTTTCAGGACATGGCTTTGGCCTTCTGTGGCCAGTTAATCAGGAGTGGGTGAGCAGCTGTCCAAGGACACATTCTGGAAGAAATTGGTGGTCAAGGTGGAGTAGGGGCAAAGGGCCTAGCTTGGTGGAAGGGATTCCATTTCACACCCAATCTCCAGCTGCTGTCAGGTAGCAGAGTCAGATAAGGACATCATAATCTCTCCAGGTAAATTACCTCTCTTTTGTGGGCCTGTGTAATCCCCCAGGGAGAGTGGTGTTTATTTCCTGTAAGGAGGGGTGGGTGCTATAGTAGAGTTGCTTTATACATACATTCAACATGTACTGGCTTTGGTATCTGACCCTCCACCCCCACTTCATTCAGTATTTCAAAGAAAAGCTACTCATAGGTTTAGTAAAGTGGGGATTAAGAATTAACTTGTGGATTTAGCAATTTGGTCATTGGTGACCTTCACAACAGTAGGTTCTGTGGAGTGACAGGGACTCGAACTGACTGGAATGGGTTCAAGAGATCATAGGAGCAAAAATAGAGCAAAGAACTGGAATAGCGCTGGAAGAAGATATGGGATTAACAGTGGGTTTGTTTTTTTAAGATGGAAGAAATCACAACGTACTTGTACGCTGGTTGTAATGATCCAGTGGAGGCAAAACTGATGATGCAAAAAAGTGGGTTGGATATGGCTCAAGATGTCCTTGAACAAGAAAGAGGACAAAGAACTTTCAGGAATTCAGTAGAGCTGTGTAAGGGAGGAAGAAGTGTTCCTTGAACCTGTTGAGGTCCCTGGCTGGATCTGAAAGTTAAAATGACAAGGACAGAGTAAGAGGAAAAAAGCATACACATTTATCATAAGTTTTTTAAGTAAGTGTAAGTGACATGGGAGCCTTCATAAGGAAATGAGACCCTGAACAAATGGTTAAACCTTAGCATTCTTATTCTAGGTCTGATGAAGAGTGGGCAGCTGTGGAGAAATATGACAGGACAAAGGGTGTGAGCTAAGTGCAGCAAACTGTGGAAAATTGGAAGGGCCTGTTTGTTCGGATTCCTCCTGGTGACCCTTGATCCTGGAGATAAAGATGCTTCTTACCTCTGGGTACAGAGTGGGCTCCTGTCACAAGAGCGTTTTATGAGCTGCTTCAGGGAAAAGGGCAGGGGAAAGCCAGAGAGGTCTTCCTGCTTCTACTGTTTTGTTTTGTTTTAACTCTTTCAGCTTAAAATATTCAATATGCTAAGGTGCCACATG